TCCAGGTTCACTATTTCCTGCCTCAGCCCCGAGTAGCTGGGACTACAGTGCGACCACCCACCACCAGAATTTTTTGTATTATTATAGTACGATAGTGGTGCTCGACTCTCCTTGACCTTGTGATCCACCTGTCTCGGGCCTCCAAAGTGCGTGATTCAGGCGTTGCCCACAAGCCTTTTTTTTTTTTTTTTTTTGCAAAGGGTTCCTTGCTCTGCTCCCAGGTTGAGAGTGCAATGGACAATCTAGCTAACTGTCAGAGTCTCACCCTGTCACCCAAGTTGGAGTGCAATGGCACAATCTCGGCTCACTGCAACCTCTGCCTTCCGGGTTCAAGGGATTCTTGTGCCTCAGCCTTCCAAGTAGCTGGTATTACAAGCATATATATATATTTAAATAAAACAGTGCTAGAAGACTTAGTACCCCCTGCATCCCTTTGTGTTTAGGGGTGGATGCGGGTGTTGTGTGTGTGCATGTGATGAGGGAAGTTGACTTTTTTAGGGTTGAGAAACAAAAAGACTTGATTAGGGAAGTCTTTGGTCTTTCTGATCTGAGTGCACTGTGTTCCTGGCCAAAAGGCACCATTTGTATGAGTCTAGTTTGGGGACCTGAGGGCTGCAAAGGAGGTCATGATAGCTCAGTCTTGGGTCATAGTAGGTCAGTAGCTCAGGGCAGGTCATAGTAGCTCAATCGTGGATTCAGAGCAACATCACTGAGGTGGGACAAGGTCTGGCCCGAATCCCTTGGCTAAGGCAGGAACTTAGGTTGTTTGCATGAGGGAGAATGAATCTGGGTCCTTGTCTTCCCTTGGATCCAGTTACCCAGGATCCATCTTGCTGCAGCTAAAGCCTGGGGTTTGTAGGGTTAAGGAAGGAGTAGGATTTGTTCCATATTCCCACTAACTAGAGTTATATCTTAAGACCAAGAAATATGGAAGTAGTTTTATCTGGCTTCTGGTGTGATTTCTAGAGGGTTTTACTTCCCCAGTCACGCAATCTCAGAACACTATCCTTTTTCAGGAGAACAGCCGCAAGGAAGACTAACCGTCTGCAGTACTGGAAGCCATGGCTGAGGTGAGTTGATGCTTTTTCTTGCCTTCCTGACATTTGGTTTCTTTTTTTAAAAAAAGACATGAGCAATTGCTTTCCTTATCCTGACATTTCTGGCTAACAGAGTTCCCCTTCAGAATCCTGATCCCCATTTCTTCTTAGCTAGATAATTCTATACCATGTCTAAGTATCCCTTTTATTTTTATAAATCAACCAGCATTAATATTTTCATTCCGTAAATACCTATGCATCTTTTTTTTTCAACTCTTTCCCAAGGACTATGATAGGGGATGAAGTATCTCAAGGAAGCAAGAATAGATTCGTAAAATGAACTTACCCTGTCTGGACCATTATTTGATGAGTTGAAGGTGTGAGTTACTTAGATGGGAATATAGAAAAGCCAAAATTATCTGTACAGGATAGCATTCTCCAGTAAGATAGGATGAAATGTGGTGCTGGTAGTTCCAAATGTTGGATTGTTGCAAAATCTGGTTTAGGCAGCTTTGGGGATCATGGGGTTGGTGGCTGATACAGATCTCTGCAACTCTGTAAGAACATCCTGGAGAGAAGTCCAATTTTAGGTTGACAAGGAAGTTTGGATTGTAAGGAATTTCTGTGAATCATCAAGTTTTCTTTATCTCAGAATTAAGGATAGTGATAATGGATGTTTACAATGGTTCAGCCAATGCATTCAGCCAATGCATTCAGCCAATGCATAAGTCATTTAGATCACACCATCAGAGCACAGAATAACCTTTTAAGTCTTATCCAGTAATATCTATATTGTAGAAAATTCTACCACCAGAAAAATAATTATTGAAGAATTTGTAAAAGGCCAGGCACGGTGGCTCACGCCTGTAATCTCAGCACTTTGGGAAGTGGAGGCGGGCAGATCACCTGAGGTCAGGAGTTAGAGACTAGGCTGGCCAACATGGTGAAACCCCATCTCTACTAAAAACACAAAAAATAAGCCAGGCATGGTGGCACATTCCTGTAGTCCCAGCTACTCAGGAGGCTGAGGCAGGAGAATCCTTGAACCTGGGAGGCAGACATTGCAGTGAGCCAAGATCACGCCACTGTACTCCAGCCTGGGCGACATCTCAAAAAAATAAAAATAAAATAACTTTACATATATCTTTTTTGTAGCTTCGATTGATGCTCTAAGGTCACATGGGGGTAGTTTAGAATGTATTAGATGAAGGATAGCTTTGGACATAACACAGACCAAGAGTTGAGAACTTTTGCGTCAGGCACAAGCAAACTGATTATAGTTGTGTTATACCAGGTCATGTAGCTGCTGTATAACGTGACCATAAATAGTCTTCCTGCATAGGACAAGCAAAAGGGGATGAGCAAAAGGGGATGATTCATCAATGGGACAGAGATTTAAGACATTTCCTGACTACCCCTTGCATTGTTAGGTGAGGTCTTTTAGCAGAATCATGAAGACCTTTTTTCTCCCTTAATAAGGGAGAAAAATTGATGGCCTGAGAAATTTTTCTCTGCTTTTCTTTTTTTTTTTGAGACGGAGTCTCGCTCTGTCGCCCAGGCTGGAGTGCAGTGGCCGGATCTCAGCTCACTGCAAGCTCCGCCTCCCGGGTTCACGCCATTCTCCTGCCTCAGCCTCCCGAGTAGCTGGGACTACAGGCGCCCGCCACCTCGCCCGGCTAGTTTTTTTGTATTTTTTAGTAGAGACAGGGTTTCATCGTGTTCGCCAGGATGGTCTCGATCTCCTGACCTCGTGATCCGCCCGTCTCGGCCTCCCAAAGTGCTGGGATTACAGGCTTGAGCCACCGCGCCCGGCCATCTCTGCTTTTCAATTTTATGAATTTTTTCAGAAGTTGTAACACTATTATTACTGACTTTTTACTTATTTGATAAACATTAACTATTTTCGTTTTGGTCAGATAAATTATTGACAAAACTAATTAGTATTTTTTGTATAAGTAAGACATTTTCCTTTTTTTCTCAAAAATTTTTTTTTCTTTTTCTTTTCTTTTTTTTGAGACGGAGTCTAGCTCTGTTGCCCAGGCTGGAGTGCAGTGACACAATCTCAGCTCACTGCAGCCTCCACCTCCCAGGTTCAAGCAGTTCTCTGCCTCAGCCTCCCAAGTAGCTGGAATTACAGGCGCCCGCCACCATGCCCAGCTAATTTTTTTGTAGTTTGAGTAGAGATGGGTTTTCATCATGTTGGCCAGACTGGTCTTGAACTGACCTCATGATCCACCTGCCTTGGCTTCCCAAAGTGCTGGGATTACAGGCCTGCCACTCCGCCCGGCTAAGTTTTTTGTATTTTTAGTAGAGACGAGGTTTCACCATGTTAGCCAGGATGGTCTTGATCTCCTGACCTCGTGATCCACCCGCCTCAGCCTCCCAAAGTGCTGGGATTACACTGCTTCATTTTTTTTGATATAGAGTCTCGCTCTCTTGCCCAGGCTGGAGTGCAGTGGTGCAATCTTGGATAACTGAAACCTCCGTCTCCCAGGTTCAAGCGATTCTCCTGTCTCAGACTCCTGAGTAGCTGGGACTACAGGCTCACGCCACCATGCCTGGCTAATTTTTGTATTTTTAGTTGAGACGGGGTTTCACCATGTTGGTCAAACTGGTCTCGAACTCCTGACCTCGTGATTCCCCCCGTGTTGACCTCCCAAAGTGCTGGGATTATAAGCGTGAGCCACCGTGCCTGGCCTGGGATTTTTTAATCCCATGGGAAATGTCTTAATAGGGGTTTGGCATATCTTTGTTCCAATTTCTACATTGAGGAGGGGAAGAAGCTTTCTTTTTATTAAATAAAATACACGTCTATTTTATTATTTTTAAATTTTATTTATTTATTTTTTTGAGATGGAGTTTCATTTTTGTCGCCCAGGCTGGAGTGCAGTGGTGCGATCTCTGCTCACCACAACCTCTGCCTCCCAGGTTCAAGCGATTCTCCTACCTCAGCCTCCCAAGTAGCTGGGATTACAGGCATGCGCCACCATGCCTGGCTAATTGTGTATTTTTAGTAAAGACGGAGTTTCTCCATATTGGTCAGGCTGGTCTCGAACTCCTGACCTCAGGTGATCCGCCCACCTCGGCCTCCCAAAGTGCTGGGATTAGAGGCATGAGCCACTGCGCCCAGCCCACATCTATTTTATTAAATAGATGCCTCAAGCATTAGTTGCTAATGAAACAAAAATACAAATAAAACGTCTAGGCCGGGCGTGGTGGCTCAAGCCTGTAATCCCAGCACTTTGGGAGGCCGGGACGGGCAGATCGCGAGGTCAGGAGATCGAGACCATCTTGGCTAACACGGTGAAACCCCATCTCTACTAAAAAATACAAAAAAACTAGCCGGACGAGGTGGCGGGCGCCTGTAGTCCCAGCTACTCGGGAGGCTGAGGCAGGAGAATGGCGTAAACCGGGAGGCGGAGCTTGCCAGTGAGCGAGATCCGGCCACTGCACTCCAGCCTAGGCGACAGAGCAAGACTCCGTCTCAAAAAAAAAAAAAAAAAATCTAAATACCCAAATACCACATTTACTCTAGATTTCCCCCAACATGTGCCTCATCTCCCTGTACTTTTTACATAATATCTCTAGTATCTTCATTTTATTAGTTTTGCAATGTCATTGTCAAGATAGAATTATTTAATGTGGCTTAAGATAACTTTTGTAAGATTTTCAAACCCTAAATTTATAAATCCTATTACAAAAAAAATTATAATAATTTGATATGCGAGTTGTAACAGTGTTGGCCAGTGGGAGTGTCTTCAAGGTGGCCTCTAGTCTTATCAGCATGATCCTTACAGTTTTTGGTTGCTTTCTTGCTTTTTGGTATAGCAAGACGTTCAGACTCATCCTGTGCATTTTGTAAAATTTGCTCTTGTGGATTTCATGAAATTAGTTCTTTTCCCAAAGAACCTTGGTTTCTTTTATTTGAAAATGATACTTAGAAACCACAATCTAGGCTGGCTGCAGTGGCTCACACCATAATCCCAGCACTTTGGGAGGCCGAGGCGGGTGGATCACCTGAGATCAGGAGTTTGAGACCAGCCTGGCCAACATGGTGAAACCCTGTCTTTACTTAAAATACAAAAATTAGCCAGGTGTGGTGGTACGTGCCTGTAATCCCTGCTACTCAGGAGGCTCAGGCAGGAGAATTACTTGAACCCAGGAGGCGGTTGCAGTGAGCCGAGATCGCGCCACTGCGCTCTAGCCTGGGTGACAAAAGTGAAATTCTGTCTCAAAAAAAAAAAAGAAGAAAGAAAAGAAAAGAAACCACAATCTAGACACTAGGGATGCTCGTTGCTACTGGATTAGTCATCATTTCTAGTCCTTTTCAATGGACAGAGTCAGAAATTTAATATAAACTTCCTACTCTTGCATCTGTTTCTGAGATCTAAAGATACAGGTTCTCAGTGACACCAATATAATTACTCATTTTGTATTACCCCACAATACAAGCACAGTAGTCTCTGATATATTTTTTTAATTACACAAGTAAGACGTATGTTTATTGTTTCAGGGATCAGTGATGTTCAGTGATGTGTCCATAGACTTCTCTCAGGAGGAGTGGGACTGCCTGGACCCTGTTCAGAGGGATTTATACAGAGATGTGATGTTGGAGAACTACAGCAATCTGGTTTCAATGGGTAAGGGCATCCGTACCAGTGATTCCCAGTTCTCCTCTGGAATGTCTGCTTCTTCTGCAGTGAATTTCTCAGCTGCTTTTCAAATTACTAGCTGAATTTCTGTTCTTTATTACCAAACAAATGGTTTGAGCTGAAATGAAAAGGAAGAATGGGAAATGGGCAACTCCAGTGGGCTGTGGTTGAGGCTTCGTCTTCATCTTTCTTTGGCTGTTCCTGTAGTGGCATCTCTTCCTTGATCATCAAGGGACTGGATCTCATTTACCCACAGCATAACCATATTCCATATCTTTTCTTGTGAGCAGGACTTTACACTCCTAAGCCTCAAGTGATCTCCTTATTGGAACAAGGGAAAGAGCCCTGGATGGTTGGCAGAGAGCTTACAAGAGGCCTGTGTTCAGGTAAGTGAGAAATGACTGGACAGGAGAAAGGCATGACAGGTCAGAACTCAGCCGGTCAGGAGGAAACAGCACCTTTGAGATGTTGTCTCTGAAGCTCCCATCAAGAAACTAGGCCAGTGTAGAAAATGAAGTCCTTTTAGCATAGTTGTTAAGTAACCTGTTTCGCCCTTTTCCTCACTTACCACTCTTTCTACTACTCCTCTCCGACTCTCCTCTTAATTTCAAGTAGAAGGTACCTTTCACTTCTCCTCTAAAAAAAACCCTCTTGTACCCATATTTTAGATTCAGCTGTTTGCTAGCTTCTTTTACTCTCTCTCTGTTTTTTTGTTTTTTTTTTTTTTTTTTAAGGGCCTGGCTCTGTCACCCAGGCTGGAGTACAGTGACATGATCATAACTCATTGTAGGCTCAAACTTCTGGGCTTAGGCAGTCTCCCTGCCTCAGCCTTCCAAGTAGCTGGGACCGTTGGCATGTGCCACCATGCCTGGCTAATTCTTTTTCTTCCTCTTCTGCATTTTTTTTTTTTTTTTTTTTTTGAGACGGAGTCTCGCTCTGTTGCCCAGGCTGGAGTGCAGTGGCCTGATCTCGGCTCACTGCAATCTCTGCCTCTCGGGTTCAAGCTATTCTTCTGCCTCAGCCTCCTGAGTAGCTGGGACTACAGGCACGTGCCACCATGCCCACCTGGCTAATTCTTTTTCTTCCTCTTCTGCATTTTTTTTTTTTTTTTTTTTTTTTGAGACGGAGTCTCGCTCTGTTGCTCAGGCTGGAGTGCAGTGGCATGATCTTGGCTCACTGCAATCTCTGCCTCTCGGGTTCAAGCTATTCTTCTGCCTCAGCCTCCTGAGTAGCTGGGACTACAGGCACGTGCCACCATGCCCACCTAATTTTTGTATTTTTAGTAGAGATGGGGTTTCACCATATTGGCCAGGCTGGTCTCAAACTCCTGATTCACCCACCTCAGCCTCCCAAAGTGCTGGGATTACAGGCATGAACCACTGCGCCCGGCCCCTCTTCTGCATTTTTTAAACTTGTGCAGGTGTTTTCTACTACCACTCCCCAAAATGATGGAATTGCATCTGTATACACACAGGTGAATATACACACACACGCACACGCACACACACATCTTGCCCAAGTACTGGTCTTCATTATAGCTGCCTGTCAGTGACCTGTTTTATCAGACTGTCTTCAACGTTTCCTGTATCGAACTTTTTTTAATTTCCTGGTTTGTGTAAGGGAATCTTCCAGGTGCTACAGTTTACTGATTATGTTACCTTTACGAACTCAAGGTCCAAAAGTGGTGCTAAAATATATACATATATGACTTCCACAAAGTAGAGTAGTATAAAAGAGAAATGAGATAAAGAGTTTAGCAGAAAGTCAAAGGCTAACTATGTAGAAGTGGAATTAATCCCTATTGAAGTATAGGTGGAGCCTTGGAAGTGACTGCAGTCACCATGTATAGAGATATTGTTGGGGCCAAGAAAAAAAAAAGAATGTGTGCCTATATTAAACAGGAAGAGGTGGCAGAGCAGGAGAGATTTGGGATGAAGTAGGAGAACCAGAAGAGTACTATTGAGCATTACTATGCACCAAGCATTGGTCCAAGGGCTGGGACTATAGTATTCTTGAAGGCATTCTAAAGTTCTGCGCTTCTGAAGCCTACATTCTAGAGGGTAAGAGAGAAAATGTCTTAGTCCATTTTGTGCTGTTACAACAGAATACCTCACATTAAGTAATATATAAAGAACAGAAATTTATTTTCTAATAGATCTGGAGGCTAAGAATTCTAAGATCAAGGCACTGGCATCTGATGAGGGCCTTCTTGCATCTTCATGTGGCAGAAGGCACTAGGAGCAAGAGAGCCAACTCCTTCCATCAAGCCCCTTCATAAGAGCACCCAAACCCATTCTTGAGGGATGGATCCTCAAAGCCCGATCATCTCTTAAAGACCCCACCTCTTTGTTTTTGGAAATTTTTTTTTTTTTTTGAGACAGAGTCTCACTCTGTCACGCAGGCTGGAATGCAACAGCAGGATCATGGCTCACCACAGCCTCAACCTCCCGGGCTCGGGTGATCCTCCCACCTCAGCCTCCCGAGTAGCTGGGACCACAGGCAGACATCACCACGTCCAGCTAATTTTTTTATTTTTTGTAGAGACAGGGTTTCGCCTTGTTGTCCAGGCTGGTCTCTAACTCCTGGGTTCAAGCGAGCCACCCACCTGGGCCTACCAAAGTACTAGGATTAAAGGCTTGAGCCACTGTGTCCAGCCCCCACCTCTTACTACTATCACATTGGCAACAGCTGAATTTTGAAGGAGAGACATTCAAACCATAGCAGAAAATAAAATGAATGTCAAGTATATATGCATAAAACAATATTAGCTTGACATTAATATTATATAATATATAAATATATTTTTGGAATTATATATCATTTGTATTTATCTATATGTAACTAATATATTGGTATAGTATAAATAATATATATTAATACATTGTAGTTCTATATTATTATATGTCCATGTGTATATGAAATGTCAGGTGGTGGGTGATATATAAGTGTTATGAAGAGAGGCTAGAGAAGGCCTCTGATGAGGTGTTCTTTTAGTAAAGACTTGAATGAAGTGAGGGAACAGGTAATATAAATATCTGCTAGGACAGATTCAGGCAAAGGGAACAGGAAGAACCAAGTACTCGAGTTCAGAGCTTTTTGGCAGCCACCATTGTGGCTGAAATTGAATGAGCAAAGTGGGAATTGTAGAAGAGGAGATCAGGAAAGTAGCAGGCTTATGAGTGTTTGCATGCTGGGTGCAGGTCAGGGTGAGAATTAGGTGTACCTGTAGATGATTTTGGGTCTTGTGGACCTTGAATTTTATTCCAAGTGAGGTGTAAATCCATTGAATGATTTAGCAGAGTGACATGATCATGTTTGTAAAGGATCATTCTTGCTCTAGGGGTTCCTAACTTTGGATTCCTTTAGGTAGAATTCAGGGAGTCCATGAACTTGGATGAGAATCAAAAATACATCTTTTCTTTTTCTTTTTTTTTTTTGAGACAGTCTCACTCTGTCATCCAGGCTTGAGTGCAGTGGTGTGATCTCGGCTCACTGCAACCTCCACCCCCGAGGTTCAAGCAATTCTCCTGCCTCAGCTGTCTGGGTAGCTGGGATTACAGGAGCCTGCCAGTGTGCCCGGCTAATTTTTGTATTTTTAGTATAGATGGGGTTTCACCATATTGGCCAAGCTGGTCTTGAACTCATGACCTTGTGATTCGCCTGCCTCGGCCTCCTGAAGTGCTGGGATTGCAGGCATGAGCCACTGTGCCCAGCTCAAAAATACGTCTTTATATTTAATAACCTCTAATTGAGATATAACATTTCTTCCTATCATGGTGTATGGGACAAACCATAGTAGTAGTAGTAGTAGTCGTTCCTGTGACTTTGACATTAATGGAAATCACAGATACGTTCATGTTATGTTACTGTTATTGTAGGCATATTGAAATATTTATGCTCATTCCTACTTCAGAATTATTGTAGTACTAGGCTTGCCACTAGGTCTTGTTTAATGTTTTACTAAAGAAGAAAACTCTAGGCAGAGAGAAGAATCCCTGTGAAGGCTCTGATGGGGAAAAGCTTGGTGTGTTTGAAAGACTAAAAGCCTGTATTGGTGGGCCCCAGGATCAAATAGGAGTGGAGTGTGAGTCAGGGTTTGGACAGACAGGCAGGAACCACAGCATTCAGCGTTTGCAGGAGATTGTGAGGAGTTTGGACTATGAGCTGTGGAAGCCTAAGCCAAATGATATTATTCCCTGAATAGATTAAAGGGTGAGAGAGCTTGGTGGGGAGACTGGTTGAGGAGGCTACTTCACTGGTCTGGATAAAGAGTTGATTCTGCTTTGGAAGATGACATTGGCAGTGGAAGAGAGAAGAGGGCAGTTTTAAAACTTTACTTGGGAGCTTAACTAGATAAAAGTTACTGCAAGATCTGCCGGGCACGGTGGCTCACGCCTGTAATCCCAGCACTTTGGGAGGCCGAGGTGGGTGGATCACAAGGTCAGGAGATCAAGACCATCCTGGCCAACATGGTGAAACCCCATCTCTTCTAAAATACAAAAAATTAGATGGGCGTGGTGGTGCATGCCTGTAGTCCCCGCTACGCGGAAGGTTGAGGCAGGGGAATTGCTTGAACCCTGGAGTCGGAGGTTGCAGTGAGCTGAGATCTCACCACTGCACTCCAGCCTGGTGACAGAGTGAGACTCTGTTTCAAAAAAAAAAAGTTATTGCAAGATCATATAGAGATAGGAGGAAAAAGATTGTGTTGGAATTAATTCCCTCTTCCTGTTTCGAGATACTCCAATAGGCTTCATTTTGATATCTTCAAACCATTTAATTTGCCTAATATCCTCATTTTTAGTAAGAAATTGTTTCATAATAATACCTGAACACTTTACTCCAAAACATGTATATGCGTTTTCCTGTAACCCCCCAGTAATCATGAGTTAGGGACTATTGCCCTTTTACAGGTGAAGAAATGGTAGCTTAGAGGTTAAATAATTGCTTGTGGCACACAACAATTAAGTATCAGAATTGGCAGCCAGCTCTCATCAATCTGCTTCTGGTTCCTGTTATCTTTCTATGGCAGTATGTTGTACTGTGTCTTAATTTCTTTCCATCTTCCTTAAACTTTAGCTGTCTTCTCTCTCATTCACTGTGGTGGTACATGAGCAAGTCTCCTCTCCCATAAGATCAGCATCTCAAAATTCCAAGGCAAACAATATTTCCATTAAATCCCCAGCATATAAAATATTCTGAGTTTCCCTATCTGCCACTTACACACTTACATCAAATTAGTTCAATACATTAGATTTACATCTAGCTCTTCCCTCATGTGAATAACCGACTGTTACCAATTTCTTTTTGATTTTGAGACGGAGTCTCACTCTGTCACCCAGCTGTAGTGCAGTGGCGCGATCTCAGCTCACTGCAGCCTCCGCCTCCTGGGTTCAAGCAGTTCTCCTGCCTCAGCCTCTCGAGTAGCTGGGATTACAGGCACATGCCACCATGTCCAGCTAATTTTTGTATTTTTAGTAGAGACGGGGTTTCACCATGCTGGCCAGGCTAGTCTGGAGCTCCTGACCTCAGGTGATCTGCCTGCGTTGGCCTCCCAAAGTGCCGGGATTACAGGCGTGAGCCACCATGCCCGGCCACCACATTCATATTGTATCCACTGTATCCTTTATTAAAGAACTTATTCTGTTTCCACCCCAACTGGGTATACTGCAGTTCACCTCTGACACTATTCAGAATGTGCAGCCCTCATAGTCTTCCATAGTACTGTCCTCACTTCAGATGCCAGCTGCAAGTCTTGGGAGTCCCCGGGCCACCTGCAGGTCAGCCAGCTAACAGCAATAAATTAAGGGGTTTCCAAGATCTCAAGTTCAATAATTTGTTAGAGTGACTCATAGAAAACAGGAAAGCTCTGTATTTAAAGCTACAGTTTTATTATAAAGGATACATGTTTGAGCAAGATCTGGAACTGGACAGAGTTTCCATGCCCTCTCCCTTTGGAGTCAGTTTGTCCTGCTCCTATCACATCAATGAGTTTACCAACCAGAAAGCTCCACTGAGTTTACTGCTCAGCATTTTTTTTGGGGTTTTATTACACAGGCACAATTGATTAAATCCCTGGCCACTCAATCTCTAGCCTCTCTCTCCTCAGAGATCAGGCAGCTGAAAATCCCAACCTTCTAATCACAAGCTAGTGTTTCAGGTAATCAGACCCCACCCTGAAGCTTTCTAAGGTCCCACCTTGAACTACCTTATTAGCATAACAAAGACCTCCTGTCAGGAAATTCCAGGTGTTTTTGAAGCTCAGTGTGGGGCTTTATTATACCTGAGAGCCAAGGAATCTTCCCCGTACGCATTTATTTCTCTCAGGAGACCTTTAATGGAGGCTAGAAAATGACCTACTTCATGTTACACATATTGTATGATATACTTATATACACACATGCATACTTATATGGATATGTGTATATCATATATGACATGTATGTCATATATCATATATATGGCTAGTCATGTTTTAATATGGAAAATAGCCCAACCATTGTATATTTACCAGCCTTTCCAGGTGATTCTGATCCACATCCGTATTTGAGTATCATTGTAGTAACTTATTTGCATAGTTACCTTCCCCTGCTTCCTGCATTATCTTACTAATTTATTTGTCTTTCTTGTCCATTTTTTCAGATAACACAGATATCCTTGTGAACCCTGTGTCATTTCCTAGTAGATACTATTCTTTAATTTTTCCATTTCTATTATAAAAGTTTAACTTTTCACAAATAGGAAAAAACATTTACCATTTTCTTTTCTTTCAGATCTGGAATCAATGTGTGAAACCAAGTTATTATCTCTAAAGAAGGAAGTTTATGAAATAGAATTATGCCAGAGGGAGATAATGGGACTTACAAAGCATGGCCTTGAGTACTCCAGTTTTGGAGATGTTTTGGAATATAGAAGCCGCCTTGCAAAACAACTGGGATATCCAAATGGGCATTTCAGTCAAGAAATATTCACTCCGGAATACATGCCCACATTTATTCAACAGACATTCCTTACTCTCCAGCAAATAATGAATAATGAAGACAGACCCTTTGAATGTAAGAAATGTGGAAAGGCCTTTAGTCAGAACTCACAATTTATTCAACATCAGAGAATTCATATTGGTGAAAAATCTTATGAATGCAAAGAGTGTGGGAAATTCTTTAGTTGTGGTTCACATGTTACTCGGCATCTGAAAATTCATACTGGCGAAAAACCCTTTGAATGTAAGGAGTGTGGAAAGGCCTTCAGTTGTAGCTCATACCTTTCTCAACATCAGAGAATCCATACCGGTAAGAAACCCTATGAATGTAAGGAATGTGGGAAGGCCTTTAGTTATTGCTCAAATCTTATTGACCATCAGCGAATTCACACCGGTGAAAAGCCTTATGCATGTAAGGTATGTGGGAAAGCCTTTACTAAAAGCTCACAACTTTTTCAGCATGTGCGAATTCATACAGGTGAGAAACCCTATGAATGTAAGGAATGTGGCAAAGCCTTTACCCAGAGCTCAAAGCTTGTTCAACATCAGAGAATTCATACTGGTGAGAAACCCTATGAGTGCAAGGAATGTGGCAAAGCCTTTAGTAGTGGCTCAGCACTTACTAATCATCAGAGAATTCACACTGGTGAGAAACCCTATGATTGTAAGGAATGCGGAAAGGCTTTTACTCAGAGCTCACAGCTTCGTCAACATCAGAGAATTCACGCTGGTGAGAAACCCTTTGAATGTCTTGAATGTGGGAAGGCCTTTACTCAGAACTCACAACTTTTCCAGCATCAGAGAATTCATACGGATGAAAAGCCATATGAATGTAATGAATGCGGAAAGGCCTTTAATAAATGCTCAAACCTTACTCGACATCTGAGAATTCACACTGGTGAAAAGCCCTATAACTGTAAGGAATGTGGGAAGGCATTTAGTAGTGGCTCAGATCTCATTCGTCATCAGGGAATTCATACTAATGAATAATAAAAATTAAAGCCCCTGTCACCCTTCCCGCATTTTTTTTTTTTTTTTTTTTTTTTTTGAGACGAGTCTCGCGCTGTGTCACCCAGGCTGGAGTGCAGTGGCGCGATCTCGGCTCACTGCAAGCTCCGCCTCCCAGGTTCACGCCATTTCTCCTGCCTCAGCCTCCGAGTAGCTGGACTACAGGCGCCCGCCACCACGGCCGGCTAGTTTTGTTATTTTTAGTAGAGACGGGGTTTCACCATGTTAGCCAGGATGGTCTCGATCTCCTGACCTCGTGATCCGCCCGCCTCGGCCTCCCAAAGTGCTGGGATTACAGGCTTGAGCCACCGCGCCCGGCCTACCTTCCTCATTTTTTAAACCAAAAATCATGTCTGATACTTACCCTCTTCCACAGTCTTTTTAAAACTTTGTATTTAAATTTTGTATCCAATGTATTTCACTCCAGGTTATAAATTCGGAGTCTAAATTGACATTCCCTCTCTCCTCCAGTCACATACCAATGCCAGCTGTTCTGTAATTCTTTGGTTCTTTGTTTTGTTCTACTTTCTTGGTGACACATTATACTCTTGTTTATATTTGCTTGTGTTTTTAGGGCAATCTTTTCTGATCTGTGTATTTGTGTTTGCACCAGTATCACACCATTTGAATTGTGTGACCTTTAATATTTTTAAATTCCTTGTGGAGGTTTAACTTTTTGAAGTCGGTGTTAATCTTTTTATTTTATTATTATTTTGTATATTTTTTGAGACGGAGTTTCACTCTGTTGCCCAGGCTGGAGTACAGTGGCGTAATCTTGGCTCGCTACAACCTCTTCTCCCGGCTTCAAGGAATTCTCCTGCCTCAGCCTCCTGAGTAGCTGGGATCACAGGCGTGTGCCACCACGCCCTGCTAATTTTGTATTTTTAGTAGAGATGGGGTTTCTCCATGTTGGTTAGGATAGTCTCGAACTCCTGACCTCAGGTGATCCACCTGCCTTGGCTTCCCAAAGTGCTGGGATTATAGGCGTGAGCAATTGCACTTGGCTTTATTCCTTTTTTATTGAGACGGAGTTTCGCTCTTGTTGCCTAGGCTGGAGTGCAATGGTGTAATCGCGGCTCATCACAACCTTTACCTCCCAGGTTCAAGCGATTCTTCTGCCTCAGCCTTTCAAGTAGTTGGGATTACAGGCATGTGTCACAACACCCAGCTAATTTTTTGTATTTTTAGTAGAGACGGGGTTTCACCATGTTAGCCGGGATGGTCTCCATCTCCCGACCTCAGGTGATCCACCCGCCTCGGCCTCCGAAAGTGCTGGGATTACAGGCGTGAGCCACTGCGGCCGGCCTTTTTATTTTACAAATTTACATTTTTAATTGTCAAGCCAAAATCACAAGACAAAAACTTGCTAGAAAGCCAAACTTAATTGTAATCATACTTATAGATGGCTATTCTCAGTTTGGTAGAGAAAATCATGCTATACTGTGCTTTTTTAAGGAAGTGTAATTATGATATGCATGCCGTACCTTTCACTGCTTTTATCATGCCAAAGATTTCATGAGTGCCATTTCAGTAAATATAAATTTTTTTTATTTTCATGATATATTTAATAACTTTGAAATGACTATTCCCATTATGGTTGCCTCTGAATTTTTGCAGCTATAAAAGCTGACCTCGGCTGGGCACAGTGGCTCATGCCTGTAATCCCAGCACTTTGGAAGGCTGAGGTGGGCAGATCACAACGTCTGAAGATTGAGGCCATCCTGGCTAACACAGTGAAACCCTGTCTCTACTAAAAATACAAAAAAGTAGCTGGACGTGGTGGCATGCGCCTGTAATCCCAGCTACTTGGGAGGCTGAGACAGGAGAATCACTTGAACCTGGGAGGCGGAGGTTGCAGTGAGCTGAGATGGTGCCACTGCACTCCAGCCTGGAGGACAGAGTGAGATTCTGTCTCAAAAAAAAAAAAAAAAAAAAAAAAGCTGACCTCATTGGATGCTCATTTTTACTTTTAAAACATTTATTTTAATTGCCAAAATTATCCACATTTTCTCCTTGTGAGCTTGTTTTGTTCCTTTCCATCAGTCCTAATCCCAATGCCATACTAGAAAGTGACACTGTTATGAAAGTGGTGTTTATCAATCCAGGTATTAATTTTTGTTGTTGTTGTTTTTCTTCTCCTTTTTTTTTTTTTGAGACAAGAGTCTCACTCTGTTGTCCAGGCTGGAGTGCAGTGGCATGATCTCGGCTCACCACAACTGCTGCCTCCCAGGTTCAAGTGATTCTCCTGCCTCAGCCTCCCTAGTAGCTGAGACTACAGGCACATGCAACCATGCCTGGCTAATTTTTGTAATTTTAGTAGAGACAGGGTTTCACTACGTTGGCCAGGCTGGTCTCGAACTCCTGACCTCGTGATACACCCGCCTCGGCCTCCCAAAGTTCTGGGATTACAGGCATGAGCCACCACGTCCGGACAATTATTTTTTCTTAAAGATATTAGTGGTATTTTGTTTTTTGAGACCGAGTCTCACTCTGTTGCTCAGGCTGGAGGGCAGTGGCGCAATCTCAGCTCACTGCAACCTCTGCCTCCCAAGTTCAAGTGAGTCTTCTGCCTCAGCCTCCCGAGTAGCTGGGATTACAGGCGTGTGCCACCATGCCCAGCTAATTTTTGTATTATTAGTAGAGACAGGGTTTCACCATATTGACCAGGATGCTCTCGAACTCCTGACCTCATGATCCTCCCGCCTTGGCTTCCCAAAGTGCTGGGATTACAGGCGTGAGCCACTGCGCCTGGCCATTAGTGGTGTTTTAAAAAATTATGTCTAGGTATATATAATCAGGCTGTATGTATTGGATCGCTGTGAAGAGTCAATGAATTAACAAATGTAAAGTACCTCAAACTGTTATCACATAATATAGGTTTAGTAAAAGTTTTCCACTATTATCAGTGATATATTCATTATCATAAGTATCTTCATTAGGATTTATGGAAAGGATTTTAACCATGTTGTTTACCTTTGGGAAATTTATAATTCATGGTGGAAAAAGAGAAACACTTGTAATGAGTATAACGAAGACTTTCCCCATCATTATTATTTAGCATGGAATTTTAAAAGGAAGAGAAAAAGTATGTGTGCATAGTCTTTGCTCAGACTTCATCTTTTATGCTACATAAAGAATACCAGTCTGAGGCCGGGCATGGTGGCTCACACCTGTAATCCTAGCACTTTGGGAGGCCAAGGTGGGTGGATCACTTGAGGTCAGGAGTTCGAGACCAGCCTGGCCAGCATGGTGAAACCCCGTCTCTACTAGAAATACAGAAAAAAAATTAGCCAGGCATGGTGTTGCACACCTGTAATCCTAGCTACTCAGCAGGCTGAGGTGGGAGGATTGCTCGAACCCGGTAGTTAGAGGTTACAGTGAGCTGAGATTGCGCCACTGCACACTCCAGACTGGGTGACCGAGCGAGACTGTGTCTCAAAATACATAAATAAAAGCATACCAATCTGAAACCCTGTAAATATGATGAGTAGTAGAAAGCACAGCTGTCAAAAAAGCAGGAAGAGATTATAACTTTTTTTCTAATATTTCCCCCCAAAACGCAGAAAACATACTGGCCACATTATTTGACCAGAAGAAGCAGTACAATAGGATAGCCATCAAATATCTGATCATTAATTCAATATTCCCTCTTAATTAACATGGACTAAGGAATAAATCCCTAAAATATACATTATTTAAATGTACACGAAAGGCCGGGCGCGGTGGCTCACGCCTGTAATCCCAGCACTTTGGGAGGCCGAGGCGGGCGGATCACGAGGTCAGGAGATCGAGACCATCCTGGCTAACACGGTGAAACCCCGTCTCTACTAAAAATGCAAAAAATTAGCCGGGCGAGGCGGCCGGCGCCTGTAGTCCCAGCTACTCGGGAGGCTGAGGCAGGAGAATGGTGTGAACCCGGGAGGCGGAGCTTGCAGTGAGCCGAGATCGTGCCACTGCACTCCAGCTTGGGCGACTAAGCGAGACTCTGTCTCAAAAAAAAAATAAAATAAAATAAATAAATAAATGTACACGAAAATGAAAACAATTGAAAAACCCGCGAGTGGCAGTAAAAGTTGTATTGGAAGTTTTATAAGCTAATGTTCATGCGTATATTGTATTCTAGGAAGAATAAATAAAATATAGAACCCAAGAAACTAAAACAAGCTGTAATGAATTGTGGGAGGAAGGAGGTAGTAGTATTTTAAAAGACAGAAATAATTGAAAAAAAAAAACTGGATCTAAATCCAAAATTTGATATTTGATGGAAGAGAAAAAAAAGGAGACAAACTTTAATGATTCTAGAGGTGAAATAAGGATGACAAACAATATTGTATATGAGAAATTGAAATGACTATATATTTAAACTTAAAAGAGCTGTATCATTTGGGGTAATGAAAATGTGGAATGGGTAAAGATTGTACAATTGTGTTTATATACTACAGGTCACTCAACTATACACTTTAAAAGGGTGAATATTAGGTTGTGTGAATTTGATCTCAATTTAAAAACTTAAGGCTGGGTGCAGTGGCTCATGCCTGTAATTCCACCACTTTGGGAGGCTGAGGTAGGAGAATGGCTTGAGGCCAGGAGTTCAAGACCAGTCTAGGTAACATAGTGAGACCCCCCCTCCCCTCATCTCTACCCAAAAAAAAAAAAAATTTAAAAACAACAAACTTAAAAGTTAGTATTATAGACATTTTTATAATATATCTGAAAATCTGGAAAATGTCTGTGATTTTTAGTAAGTTGATGACATCAGAATTAACTGGAGGTATAAAATCCTAATAGACTTCTCTCCAGAATAAACTTATTTAAAAAATAAGACCGGCCAGGCACGGTGGCTCACACATGTAATCCCAGCATTTTGAGGCCTAGGCGGGCGGATCACCTGAGGTTGGGGATTTGAGACCAGCCTGACCACCATGGAGAAACCTCATCTCTACAAAAATACAAAAAATTAGCCGGGTGTGGTGGCTCATGCCTGTAATCCCAGCTACTCGGGAGGCTGAGGCAGGAGAAAGGCTTGAACC